AGATCTGTGTCCAGTTTTTGTAACTAAGATGCAGAATAGAGTTTCGCTTCCCTGTTCAATGGTCTGAAACCGGTCAGTTGGCATTTCCGAATAAATAACTCCGCGGCGAAGGCCTACTTCCTTTCAATTGTGGTTCAGCGTCTGCCATCGACCACCAGGCTATGAGTTTGAAAATCTTCTTATCACGTCCATGAAGGGTGTTCCCTGGGTAAACGATGAAAATCTTGTTGGCGAAACCCTTTTCAAACGGGACATAAATAAGAATTAATTCTCCACGGAGGCAATTGCCAGATATACATCGGTTTTCCAACTGGTTGGCAAACTAGCTGGTTATCCAATTCAGATTGGATTCGCAGGGTGTTTCCTGGGTAAACGATGAAAATCTTGTTGGCGAAACCCTTTTCAAACGGGACATAAATAAGAATTAATTCTCCACGGAGGCAATTGCCAGATATACATCGGTTTTCCAACTGGTTGGCAAACTAGCTGGTTATCCAATTCAGATTGGATTCGAATATGACGGTTATGAATTTCACTTTCCTCTTCGCAGCATATATTGCGCTTTCGAGAGAGGACTACCCTGTTTCCGGATAATCTCGTCAAATTATTTTCCTTCTTGTGGGTTTGACTAGAGAATTATTTTCAGGAAGGGAATCGAAATCAACTGGCCCGTACTGCACATCTTTTCTGGCAAACTTGAAATCGACAGGCTTGAGATTGACATTTGGGTGAGGGTTGATGGAGCAAACTGGAAAGCAATGACCCAATGACCCGATGGCATGTCGTCCTAGTGGAACGACGAGAGCACATAAGCGACGAGGAGATATCGATGTAGAGTCTGTACATAATTGGTTGCGCAGGTGCCTGTTGTGGCAGGAAGTGTAAGTGGGAAGTAGGCTGGCTACACTGTCAGCTGAAAAAGCGTTCTGAAGATTCGTTGTAGACAGACTTCGACAGTATTTTGTGAGATGGCTTGGTCTCCAGACCATCCTCACAGGTCGGTGTAGTGCAATACTTGTTATTCTGGCGGTAGCAGAAAGGATAAGGGGTTAGTCACTGATCAACAGCCAACTTCGCTCCTTCATGCGTAATGCACCCCCGAAAATCGAGTGCCACGACGCCGTCCTCTCTCCATGGCATTTCAGAATGGCAAAATCTCTGAGGTGGATCTGTTGAAATGGAGTAAAATACAATGCTAACAATTTGGGTTCACCTTTCGAAGTAGAGTCCTGATGACTCCTTCTGTGTTCAGCTGGAGATACCAGTTAATAATCGTCTGTAGCTCTCGCAATATCGGTTTCTTATCGGACTTTTGGGCTGAGTTTATGAGGCTGTAGGTATCGTACAATGTTTGCGGCCGGCACGCACAACGTCACTCTTTTCTCCAGTCCCTTCACCTTTTCCTGCCTTAAGGATTTAGATGTACTTACACTCTGTGGGTATTAGGCAGTGAATTACCAGTGTCAGCACCGATGTAGCTGTTCCTGTCGGCGACGGTGCACTCTGCCGGAAACTTCAAACGAATGAAATGAGAGAACCCACCCCGAAACGGGGATTATCGGTTAGAATGGAAACTGCGGCCTGAATGTGGGGACTGGTGGAATCAGATCCTGCCAACTTCAGAGAGTGGTATAAGGAGAATCCCGCCAAAGGTCTCCACTGGGTCAAGCGTGGTTACAGTGAAGTCAGCAGCCAGGGTAAGACTGAGTCGGGTGTGTAAGACAGTAACAACGTTAAACCACCCTCAGAAAAGTAAAAGCTGAGTTAAAGCTGCCGAAAACGAGAAATGCTAACCTCATTGGCTTACATGTGTATTAGTATGATCGATGAAATGATGATTTTGTAGGCCACGGTCATGCTTTCTCTCTATATATAGTCTGTTTTTAGCTGCTTATAGCTGGTTTATGGGCGCAATGCGAGCACAAGAAATGGGAGATTGCTAGAAAAGGATTCGCTACAGAAGAGCCGGGCGGCCACGCAAACACTTGGGTGGACCCCGCCAGAGCTAAAAAACCATCGGTAGTCGTATCGGGTCGCTGCATTCTTTGTGTTTGAATCCTCCATTGCTCTAGAAAGAAGTCCCACAAGGCCTTGCAGGTGTGGCATCGCATACCGCGTTTTAAGTTCTACGGGCAGCCATTTCACCAACATCTTTGGTGCTCCATCAATGGCTGTGGAGGGCACTGGGTATAAATCAATGTCATGGTTAAAACCGGATGCAAAATAGAAAGTGAGCGCAAAATATCAGGAGTACTTCTCGAATTCAAAAGGAACTCATGTACACTCAGTGAATAGATTGAAAAACGAAAAAATTCTTCCACAAATTAACACGAGGGAATAACGAAACCGATTTCGAACGTACCGCGCGTAGGATTGGGGAATCGCTTCATAAGCGACCGCTGTTAATTCAAGTCCGATGAGCTCGATCTGCACCGTATTTTACACTTGAAGAGATCTCCAAATGAACCGAAAATATGTGGGGTAAAACATCAGCTTTGTTTGCCTGTGGGGATCCCCTTGGTCAACCCGATTCCCACTGCCCTCAGAATTGCACATCCCCAGTCCGATTATCCCAACCATGACATCCATTCATGGACTGTCCAGGAACTGAAGTATGTCATCTCAATGATGGCATGGCACTGCAATGCCCAGTCTGACAGCACACCCACAACTATTCACTTCCTACTTTTGGCTGTGTCCTCTCATTTACTACCTCCCTTGCTCATAGCCACGGGCAACTTTTTCACCTGGCTTCAGTCAACTGTGCGAGGAGTTTGTTCTAGCCTGCTAAAACATTAGTCTAAATCTAATTATCTCGATAGACTTCCTTCCCACAAAGTTAATCATTTTTCACACTTGAGTGAGTTAGCAACAACCCACTCTCCCATGGAACTTCTGCACCAGACTCTGCCCAGGAGCGACAACTCTGAGTCTATACAGTTTCGCTGTACAGAGTGATTATGAGATGTCAACTAACATTTATCCGTATCGCGAACCCATCGACCCAGCCATCCCCAGTTACGGTTTACGTGACCCTGGCCACGAACACAACTGTCCAAGGACACAGCAATGGTTTTCCGCTTTGGTTCAGAACTGACCGGCCGGATCAGTGTAACACTGATGATTCACCAGATCTCTTGTTTTAGTCACTCATTTTCCAAAATTTGCAGTTTGCTTATCACGTACCGGGTAGAATGCCCTAGTTTCGCACTTCCCATTGGGTCAATGACCTCTATCTTCAAATTGCAACGGTTAGACCTGGCTTCTGCTTGACACATTCAACTATAAAGTAGAAAACCCCTGAAACCTTTTTCCAGGCTTGATGTACACCGCGTTTAGATCATGCAAATTTAGGGATGGCTACAGCTGTCTGATAATGCACACCATTTGAGTGACTGCCCGTTTTCGCGTAATCACGAGTATCTGCAAATCCCGTTGGTCATGCTTTTAATCTGACTGTACCACGATACTCATGGCTGATGGTATGCCACACACCAACTAGGATTAAAAACCGTTATTAAATATTTTCAAGCCATGGAAGTAAAACTGGTAAGTTTAAACACCCTAGACAGAAACCAGCACGGTTTAACCGAAACCATTCACGTTTAAGGGCTAGGGCCATTTTGGGTGAAGGGACTAGGGACTGGAAACCGGGACCCTTGGGTTTCATCGTGAGTATGATGCCATAAATCACTGCGACTTCTTATGGGTTATCGGGATCGATTTATATTCCCTTGAAGAGGGAAAATACAGTGAGTGGTTTTGAGGGGGAAGTCCCCAAAACCGCGCATTTTTGTGGCGATGTCGACAAGGATCAACGTTGAGGCCTTCGGTGCTCACATCGTAGATCGTTTGCTAATCAAGCTGGGTCCTCCATTTATTGCTTTGGCAGACGCCAGCAAAACTTTTGGAACTCGCCTACAAGATATGGCCAAGTGAAGCCTCCAAATGAATGATAATCTTAGGGTTTTCCCTCCGAGGCGTTTAAACCTGTCCTCTCAGTCGATGGGTTCCTGTTTGTAGCCTACACCAGGCACAAGAGCTTTTTGAATTTTGGTCTGTGTAGCTTGCTGTGTAATCTATGCGCACGATCCGCTCCAAACAGCGGTGAAATGATAAAGGAATGATTCCATCAGAATTCTATCTGAAAATTCCAGAAAATTTGTTTACTTCTCACCACTCTTCAGAGTTTTTATGCGCCCGGAACCTGAGCATTGTGTGAGGGCCTTGTATATCCCTCCAGAAGAGGCTACTTGCCCGTTCAGAGTCAGATGCATGGCAGCTCAAAGCTCACCGTGATGGAGGGGGTATGTTGATGATAGAAAGGGATAAAAAGGGATAAATAATTAAGGCGATTAGGGTCCCAAAGAGGCACTTGGGTATTTAATTAGCTCAGAGTGCATCAGTGGTGCTGCAACCATTGGGTAAGCATGGGGTGGAGTGCGAAACGCAATCATAGCTTTCCGTGATGGCATAAAATGGGTGAGGCTGGAAGAATGAGGGAGTGTTGAAAGATTACCCAAAAATGGTGACCGGGGAGCAGAAGGAGAATGTCATAACACCATAACATATCAATGATCGTATTTCGGTCTTACAGACCGAGTAAAATATCTACTCTTCGATGAAAAGAACCAGGTATTTCTTTGGTTTTATGGTACCCTTTGACTGTTTTTGAAAGCTGCTTTTGCATAATGGAATTAAAGTTTGCGTTCGGCGAATCTACTTCTGACACACCATTTTTATGATGACGAAGTGCCAACTCCAGCGTATATTCTCACATCATTGGGATAAACTGTCCTGAAGTCAGTTTGTTTAAATAGATAATTTGCGTTTACTCTTTCAAGCGGGCTTTTGGTGGCGCGTCCCGAACGGTTGGTAGCCCATACGCCCTGATACACCAACTGCCCGGTCCAGGCCGCAAGTCGCAGACTCTGAGCCCATACTGACCATAGCATACACATTTTGATTTAAGGTATGTTGACTAACTCACATCTGGGTAATTTTTAGCTTGAGCGACCAACGACCTGACGGATTGTTCGGATAGAGAGGACAGTGGAATACGTGGACTGGATCAGCGGACACTTACGTAAATTCCTGCTGTTATTTAATGACAAATTTAGTTTTATTAGTTTAACCGCATTCGACCATCAAGACTCGATCACTTTTGGCCATCTCCTTCATCGCAAATATATCACACTGTCTGCTTTTGTACGATGGATTACCCTGCAAAGCGTTCCCGGAATGATACTTCTGGTGCTTCCACTGCACAGTTCTACAACAGCACAGGAACGGTTCCAAGTAATATCCAACTGAGGCCGGATATCTATAGGCTAATTACTACGTACCCCAGCTGCACAATTATCGCTTACGAGCTTCCAGATGGCTGTTCTGAGAACGATTTGTTTGCAATATTCAATCAGTTCGGCGAAATTAAACACACGAAACTGGTATGCTCAGGGAAAGCTGGACTTGTGCAATTTTCCGAGGTTTCGTCACCCACCCGGCTTGTTCACATGGCAAAAATTAATCCTTTTTATATTGGTTCCAATCATGTTTGTCTGGAGTTTTCTGCTGAATCAATTGCTCCTTTGTTGGTATCGCAAATCGACACTGGGCGACCACAACACAACTCGAATGTTTGTCTGGAGTTTTCTGCTGAATCAATTGCTCCTTTATTGGTATCGCAAATTGACACTGGGCGACCACAACCACCACTCGAGGAACAAACAAGAATTCTCCTCTTAGACATCGCCGCTGCTGACTACCCTATAACCGTCGACGTAATCAGGTCAATTTGTCAACCACACGGCAAAGTGGTTCGTATTTTCATTGGAAAGAAAAACGTAGACAGGTCTGTTGAGGCTTTAGTAGAGCTTGATACAATCGAGGATGCCAGGAAGGTGAAAGAGCAGTTAGATGGCGCTGACATTTATTATGGGTGTTGCACGCTAAAAGTAACGTATTCAAGAATTTCAAGGGTTCATGTCACAAAAAACGACAGTGAATCTTGGGATTTTTCCTGCTCTAACGAAATTCTTAACGGTGGTTCTGGGCACCGTACGTTACTTGGTTACGGGCAGCCAGCGTGCTTGCAAACTTCTCAGCCACCAGTTCCAGCCTCTTCTGTTCACACGTACTCCTCTCACCTACCTTCTTCCGAGTACAAACCTGAGATTAACGTAACCAACACACCTGCCACACAAGTATCTCCACCATGTCCACCTTCCCTCACAGTTCCAGCTGCAGCTCCCGCCTTGCAGCCGCAACCTGCCTTGCCAATGCCAGTGGTCCCGCAAACTGCACCTCCAATGTCGTACTATTCAATGCCATGCTATCCCGTCCCGCAAATGTATGGGTCATCACCGCCTGCTACTTATATGCAACCTCCTTATTGTTCTAGCTATGCAACCTCGGTAGCTAATTCTGTAACGCCCAACAATAAACCGGCCCCGAAGGTGTTGACAGATATCAAAGTCCTTCCCACACCTCCGCCGGTACACCAAGTCAATTCGGACGGAATCGGTATTGGTCATGCTACAACGGCTTCTTCTGCCCCATCCCATCGAGTGTCGAAGAATGATTGTGTATTCGAATGCGTTGAGGGTGTAGTTATTATGGCATGCAATCTACCCCCGACAATGAACTGCGACCACTTGTTCAATTTGCTGTGTCCATATGGAAATATAGCGCGCATTCGGTTTCTGAAATCTCGTCGCGGATCTGCGATGGTTCAGTTAGGAACAGCAGAGGCTGCTGAGTTTGTCCATCAGTATTACAACGGCAGGACAGTTTTTGGTCACAAAATTCGATTCAGTTCAAGCAAGCAACCTCAGCTGGTCGAGTATCCGAACCTTGGTACTCTTGATGATGGTTCGCCAGTAATGAAAAACTATATTGGTGAGTTCTAATGCAGGTGAAGTACAAATGGGGGCTAATAGTAATGAAGGTGTGTAAAAACTTTGAACAATCAATCATGAATCATATAGGTTTGCTCATCACTGAAGTTCTCTCTGTTTTTTGTGTTTTAAGTACAGGTTAAATGCCAACCCAAAACGATTAGATATTTAAGGACATGGTGTAATCTGATAGCTTTGATTCTTTCTAGGAGGGCAATTTATGAAGCCCATTGATTTTGAAGCAAGAACAATGCAGTTTACTCCGCTGCAGTGAGCATATTCCAGAAAAAGTTCGAAAGGGTTTGGGGGTTGGGTACATATACATATACATATACATATACATATACATATACATACATACCCATTGAATTTTCGTTACGTGGCCGCTACCGGCGCTCTCGGTGTCACAGTGAGAGCCAGTTCTCAAGATGAGTTTTCTGATAATCTACCAGGATTGGTTCTTATTTCCAGGATCACTGACATACTGACATCACTCAAATGTCTGACAAGCCAGTTGCTACAAATTGGGGTCACGTTGTCACTCGTTGTTCTATTTTTCAGATGATCCTAACAATCGTTTTCGAAACCCAGCGATTGCTGCAAAAAGTAGAATTACAGCGCCATCTCGCACGCTGCACTTTTTCAACTTGCCGCTAAATATCTCTCTCCAGGATGTATGCCGCATTTTCACGGACTGCGGAGCTGTTAGTCCTCCGCGCCTTCTGCTCTTCAATCAAAAACCCGGGCAAATGACATCGCTAGGTCTGTTTGAATTCATTATTTTATTATTTGTTATCCACGCTTGATTTACGAGAATTCTTGAGTTTTGATTTGTATTCTAACCGGTCAAACAACAAACATAATAAAGGCTACAAAGTTTTAACGTAGATAATAATGTCGGAACCCGTGTTGCATCTTTCTGCCACGGTGTCAGCCATACTTTATGTGATGTTAAGCAGCAGACAGCTTACTTTAGGATACGTGGACAATGCACTCGTCTGAGCATACTACAGCCGTAATAGGGGTTGATTCTGGTAGATTTGGAACATGAGATAAATCACCACAGAGTAATCAATGGTACTCAAGGTTTATTTACAGTTTGACTGCTATATCGGAAAGTGTATTGATGAATCCTTACTTTGTCCATCCCAGCTGAGACAAACCGGGTAGCACAGAAATTGTTTGTTCATGCGTGAATCTTAAGGTTATGATGACAAGAAACAAGTGAGCCACGTTTTGCTTCCGTTTCTTAGTAAAGGAGCAAGGGCTTGTATATATAAACATCCATGGTACAAGATGCAGCATTTGTCATAAAATATTCATAGAAGCCATTTCAAACACCGGATTTCAAACACTTTCACAATATGAGTGCGAGACCTGTAGGAGGGAACTTCTGTTGGCCGGTTACTTCATACAACAGTGCTTTTATCTATCAAACATTCTGGTGTAGCACGACCGCTCCTCCTTGGTTAAATTGACATATTCTGATATGGTGCAACGTATTCTACTATTTGGCAATTGATCAGGTGGCTGTTGATTTGCTCGCCGAGCTTAGCAATTGATTTGTCAGATATGGCCCAGTCGCGCCCCCAATGGCGCTCGTGCATCCAAGCTATTGCCTTTAATGCATAGCTCCTTTTCCAACCCCCCCACCACTTGACAGCCCACTGACAGTGCTGGATTTATGCACCAATTTATCAGCTCCCACACGCAACGCGCAGCTACCTACCCCTCTCCCCGAAACCATCGGTGAACGAAACTGCGGCAGCTACAACCACAGTACGACGAGTACGCGGTTATTACAGCTGACAATGATGGTGATGATGATAACTTGAAAGCGTTTCGTCTCCATTCGAGGAGGCACCTTCAGTGCGCTGTTGGTCTGGTCTGCTACTACTACTACTACATGGTAATATCCCATGCGATATCATACCTTACTGTAAAGAACCGAACTAATGTGTTAGTCACCCTCGCTGGCTTGTGATCAGGCCGTTTCATTCCAACATAGAATATTTGTCTGCCAATATTCAAGCGTTTACACTGGGAAACATACTACCTTTATTTTTATGCTTGCAGGTCTGGCTGAATGGGATACGCTAGCTGAGGCTCTGGAGGCAATGGTTCTAGCTAATCATCGTCCAGTACATGTCTCTGGGCTTGTCAACCCGTTTCACCTTAAGCTTGCCTTTAGTCCTAACCCAATTGCAAAAGGATTTGGAAACTCACTGATACAATATCCTGCACCGCCGTTTGCGGAAACACCAGCTGGCTATGAATACAAGGATGATACAACAGAAACACCAGTTGAAGAAGAGGACCTGTTACTGAACGATCAGTCGAACTCTCAGTGTAATGGCACCTCAGAAGACAACTCACCAAATAAGACTCAAGCAGAAGCAGAAGAAAGCCAAAACCAGTCGCCTTCAAGTGAACTTCAGTGCTCGTCAGATGAACGTGAATGGGTCAAGATAAACGGAGGGTGAAGTAAAATACAGTATGTTTCCTGAGGCCTGAAATATGGCTACACAAGATGCTGTAGCCTCACCAGTTTCTGCATCACATACCGCTCAGGGTACGGAGCCTTTTTATTACATTTTTACTTTCACCGTGCATGCACTGGAATATTTTGCCTTGACAATCCACCCGGTTTATAATTCTAGCCGTTTTATACCATGGGATGAACAATTAAATCCAAAACCTCATCATTAAATGTGTATAGAACTATTCTCTCTGGTTGAATTGACTGGAGAACAGGGAAACTAATTCGTATGCTGTGAACATTTGAGCAAATACATCAGCTGATACTTTGAAAAAAAACTGATCACACTGTCGATCGATATTTTTTTATGTGACTTCATATCACAAAATTTTGAGTGCGCATACACAGTGCTTTTGAATCGAATGCAGTTTTTCCTTTGTTGCCATCGGTGAACGAAACTGCGGCAGCTACAACCACAGTACGACGCGCGGTCGGTTATTACAGCTGACAATGATGGTGATGATGATAACTTGAAAGCGTTTCGTCTCCATTCGAGGAGGCACCTTCAGTGCTTGGTCTGGTGTGATGATGATAACTTGAAAGCGTTTCGTCTCCATTCGAGGAGGCACCTTCAGTGCGCTGTTGGTCTGGTCTGCTACTACTACTACTACATGGTAATATCCCATGCGATATCATACCTTACTGTAAAGAACCGAACTAATGTGTTAGTCACCCTCGCTAGCTTGTGATCAGGCCGTTTCATTCCAACATAGAATATTTGTCTGCCAATATTCAAGCGTTTACACTGGGAAACATACTACCTTTATTTTTATGCTTGCAGGTCTGGCTGAATGGGATACGCTAGCTGAGGCTCTGGAGGCAATGGTTCTAGCTAATCATCGTCCAGTACATGTCTCTGGGCTTGTCAACCCGTTTCACCTTAAGCTTGCCTTTAGTCCTAACCCAATTGCAAAAGGATTTGGAAACTCACTGATACAATATCCTGCACCGCCGTTTGCGGAAACACCAGCTGGCTATGAATACAAGGATGATACAACAGAAACACCAGTTGAAGAAGAGGACCTGTTACTGAACGATCAGTCGAACTCTCAGTGTAATGGCACCTCAGAAGACAACTCACCAAATAAGACTCAAGCAGAAGCAGAAGAAAGCCAAAACCAGTCGCCTTCAAGTGAACTTCAGTGCTCGTCAGATGAACGTGAATGGGTCAAGATAAACGGAGGGTGAAGTAAAATACAGTATGTTTCCTGAGGCCTGAAATATGGCTACACAAGATGCTGTAGCCTCACCAGTTTCTGCATCACATACCGCTCAGGGTACGGAGCCTTTTTATTACATTTTTACTTTCACCGTGCATGCACTGGAATATTTTGCCTTGACAATCCACCCGGTTTATAATTCTAGCCGTTTTATACCATGGGATGAACAATTAAATCCAAAACCTCATCATTAAATGTGTATAGAACTATTCTCTCTGGTTGAATTGACTGGAGAACAGGGAAACTAATTCGTATGCTGTGAACATTTGAGCAAATACATCAGCTGATACTTTGAAAAAAAAACTGATCACACTGTCGATCGATATTTTTTTATGTGACTTCATATCACAAAATTTTGAGTGCGCATACACAGTGCTTTTGAATCGAATGCAGTTTTTCCTTTGTTGAATACATTGGCACAAAACACTATGTGTTTTACAAAATTTCCTTTTTTGAAGTTCACTTAGATGTTTCGTAGGGAGAGAGATTACATCAAAATGACTGAATCTAACGGTGGCTACATCAGCTTTGACGGAACTTACACTGTGATAGCTACGAGTTTTTTTAAACCAAAATAATGATTTACTGCATGTACTGAATCACCGTCATATGTCTGAAAGTTATGATAAAGGTGTGGAATTCCACAGCACGCATTGTACAGAAATTTCAAAATGATATAATTGTGGTTGCGCTGGGTTGATTAGTCTCGCCGTTTAACTAAAAACGTAATAAAATATAATAAAATAACTGAGTGAATAGCAAACTATTAGTACGCTCTGTGCATCCATAATTTTAGTAAATGGACATGTGTTAATTGGATACGAGCGTTTTATTATCATTTTGTTTGGGACATTAGTAGGTTAAATAAGTGCTTTTTGACGAGCGGCATATTTATGGATAGTTCGTAGATGTTCTGTACCTTGATTAGGGTTCCTTGAAAGATCAACCAATACTTTGTTTGTCACGTTCTCCGTGACGGGCTAACTTGGTTGCTGTTATAATGACCTGAAAAGTCAAACCTATCAGGTGTGTCATGATAGCACTCCACAGTAGACATCGGTGTTTCTCCGTACGGAATGGGCATATTTTCTTGTTTGGTTTGTGCAAGTTAAAAATTGATAATTCAGTTCAATTAACTCTAAAATAGAATTACTATGTCGACGACTCCGCACATCAAAACTTTTCTGGAAATTGCCACATGTATTAACATATATGATCTCGTAGGTTGCATCTGCAAACAACGACGGCAAAACTGCACTTCACTTTATTTGAGTTCCTGAGAAACGCCTTATCGTGGAAAATACGGAAGGATATTTCGAATTCAAGGAAAAGATGTCAAGCTGAAATGATGCATTTGCTACAATGTGATTTTAAATGCGCAGCGTTGCTTCTAATGCGTGCGTTGTAATAGGCAGGAAAAAACTCACTGATATATCACTCAGCTGTATTACCATAAAAATCGATGTAAAGTGCTTGATGAAAAAATGAGCGAAAGTTCTTAGAATAAAAGGGCTTTCAAAATACAAATTGTCTTCTAAATAGTCCTGTTGATGGCACTGGTCCAACCAATTCGCTCTTGTCAACAAATAAAAAATACAAGCATATTTTTATTCGACCGTAGCCAGCACTTGGGTTTGAGACTTTCAAACCATTACGTTATCTCTTAGGTATTGCATTCTTATTCTTGTGGGCAAGATCTATGTCGAAAAGGTCACTCATAAACTCTTGTAGCGTAAAACTTCCTGGTTCTTTAGTGAGAGTGGAATAGCCTTATTAACTTGGTTGGAGACATTATGATGAAGGTGCCTTTTTGCATAGATTTCATCATCATGATAGCTGTCAAACGGACGCTTATATTTTTAAGAGCAACAGCTCACTGGTGAACTCCCCTCTCAAGGAGAGCCTCTGAAAGCTAACTTTCTTTAACTCTTCTCTTGGCGAATAAGCAGACTCTTTGCGCCAGGCTTTTTAACCCAATAACTCACTTCTGCAAAGCTTTATAGAGTTGCGTCACTTAGGTTAATATATACTGGTAACGACAAGTTCTTTGTGTTCACTTCCCAGAGTTTAGGCAGCTAGTTTTTTGCTGCTAAAGTTATACAAAATAATTCATAAGATCACCACAATATGGGCTCTTGAGAAACACAGTCCCACCGTTGCTTTGGAACTGGCGAAAGGATGTTACTTTCCATCGCCTGCTTCACATCCTGTTAGAATTGTGCGGATACCAGGCAAACATTGACTTAATCCTGTGCGTTGGTGTTCTCAGGGGACTATTCTCCCACATTTTGGTGGGTTCTCAACTTCTGAAAGGGTTTCGTATTAAAATAGCCGGAATATCTCGTAACCGGACCACTGTTGGACAATGGCTATCTAACCTCAAGGTAGGTGCTAGCAGCACGGTGTATAGATAGTTGCCGAAAGTCTTTGATGATCTCAGTCTTTGATGATCTCACTCCAATGATGAGTATCATGTGCTTCTAAGTATTCAACAAATGTGTTTTGTAGGATTTTGTTTTATCATGATCATCATTATCATTGTCAGCTGTAAGAACCGCGTACTGGTCATACAGCGGTTGTAGCTGCCCCAGTTTCGTTCACCGATGTTTCGGAGAGGTGGGGTAGGTAGCTGCGCATTGGAGACGGGAGCTGATAAATAAGTGCGTAAATACAGCACTGTAGGTGGACTGTTAAGTGTGGGGATTTGGAAGGGAGCTATGCATTGAGGGCAATAGCTTTGATGCACGAGCACCATTAGGGGCGCGGCTGGACCGTATCTGACAATGTCTCTAACCGTTGATATGGCCCGACTCGGAGTCCCAATCCAGGAAGATAGCAATGACCAGCGCAGCTGAGTTTGCTGGTAATGGCTTTTATACTCCGCTGCCGGGTCATTGTTTGACCGCCTCTCTCTTCCACTTCTCAACTGGTTGTGCGAATAGAGCCATCCGAGGAAGTCAGTCGACTGGCATACGCAGAACGTGGCCAAGCGAGCGCGATGAAGGTGTCTTTTTGCATATATTTCATCATTATGATAGCCGTCAAACGGAGGCTTATCTTTTTAAGAGCAACAGCTCACTGGTAAACTCCCCTCTCAAGGAGAGCCTCTGAAAGCTAACTTTCTTTAACTCTTCTCTTGGCGAATAAGCAGACTCTTTGCGCCAGGCTTTTTAACCCAATAACTCACTTCTGCAAAGCTTTATAGAGTTGCGTCACTTAGGTTAATATATACTGGTAACGACAAGTTCTTTGTGTTCACTTCCCAGAGTTTAGACAGCTAGTTTTTTGCTGCTAAAGTTATACAAAATAATTCATAAGATCACCACAATATGGGCTCTTGAGAAACACAGTCCCACCGTTGCTTTGGAACTGGCGAAAGGATGTTACTTTCCATCGCCTGCTTCACATCCTGTCAGAATTGTGCGGATACCAGGCAAACATTGACTTAATCCTGTGCGTTGGTGTTCTCAGGGGACTATTCTCCCACATTTTGGTGGGTTCTCAACTTCTGAAAGGGTTTCGTATTAAAATAGCCGGAATATCTCGTAACCGGACCACTGTTGGACAATGGCTATCTAACCTCAAGGTAGGTGCTAGCAGCACGGTGTATAGATAGTTACTGAAAGTCTAGTCTTTGATGATCTCACTCCAATGATGAGTATCATGTGCTTCTAAGTATTCAACAAATGTGTTTTGTAGGATTTTGTTTTATCATGATCATCATTATCATTGTCAGCTGTAAGAACCGCGTACTGGTCATACAGCGGTTGTAGCTGCCCCAGTTTCGTTCACCGATGTTTCGGAGAGGTGGGGTAGGTAGCTGCGCATTGGAGACGGGAGCTGATAAATAAGTGCGTAAATACAGCACTGTAGGTGGACTGTTAAGTGTGGGGATTTGGAAGGGAGCTATGCATTGAGGGCAATAGCTTTGATGCACGAGCACCATTAGGGGCGCGGCTGGACCGTATCTGACAATGTCTCTAACCGTTGATATGGCCCGACTCGGAGTCCCAATCCAGGAAGATAGCAATGACCAGCGCAGCTGAGTTTGCTGGTAATGGCTTTTATACTCCGCTGCCGGGTCATTGTTTGACCGCCTCTCTCTTCCACTTCTCAACTGGTTGTGCGAATAGAGCCATCCGAGGAAGTCAGTCGACTGGCATACGCAGAACGTGGCCAAGCGAGCGCAACTTTTGCAGCGCGATCAGTTCATCTATCGAGGGTGAGTTGTTTCTCCCGAACACCATTCGACGGACTTCACCATTGCTGATCTGATGTTCCTACCAGATTCGGGTACTGCACCGAAAACATCGATGTTCAAACACTGAAAAATCTTTTGATGTTCTCGGCGCTCAGCGGCCAGGTTTCTGATCCGTATAGTGATATGGAGCGCACCGCAGTATTTTTAACTCGACCCCTGACGGATAAGCTGATGTCACGCCTACGCCACAGGTGACACAGGTTCACAAAAGTTGCTCTGGCCTTCCCACTCCGAGAATGATACAGCTGCTTAGGTAAATATATTTGTCTACTACATTAATCGGTTCGTCCGCAAGCATTAGGCTAGGGTTCGAGCCCACTAGGTCTTGCAGTAGTACTTTACACTTTCAGGTATCAAACGCATGCCGAACCGTGAGGTTGATGCGAGGGAGGGCGTGTCGTGTTTATTCAATATCTGTATAATAAATATCGATATGCTCGAATGATATCGTGACACTCAGTCCTACGGTGCATCTTCACTGGGAGACAGACTCTGTCAAATAAGCAATCGAAAAATGACTCTGTCAGACTTTGAATCTGATCTTGTTGTTGAGACTATAGAGATTCTTCTTTATTTTGACTGACCACCTTCCAACATCATTGTCTTACGTCCTGATCGAGCCATGCACACACAAAAATCTTTGTCGTAAAAGTTGTTTAATATTTGTATCATAACACCTAAAGTGCCGTGCGTGCTGTTACCCACAAATAGTTACACTATCTAACCAAAATAGTGTGAAGAGCGATTGATGAATTAGGCAGCAATAGAGCCAAGTGTATTTGTATTCATTTGACGCGTGGTATATAAATAAAGTATTATACTAGCAGAGTGGGCATTGACTCATTCTCAAGCCCCAGAAAGACACCGCATCTGATCCGTTGGTTTGATCTCCTGATTAAGGTGAAAAATCATAGGTGTCATTTTAAGTCATCTGATTTGGCGCTCGATAACAGGGCCAAATTGGAGCACTGATTTAGAGTATCCCAGCATAAGACTGTTACAGTCCAGTAACAAACTGAATGCATGGGTTTAGGCCAACAAAACAAATGCAAAGAAATTTCATCATGACATGCTCAGATTCCGTCTCTTGCGGAGAGGGAGAAGTTCACTTTACCGATGTCATCCTGCTTTGCGCGCTCATCACTGGACCTTTTCTCAA